TCCACCCACTGAGGAAAATGAAGTGCAGATGAGATGAAAAGGGAAAAAAAAAAAACAATCTTCACCATAGATAATTATATGCCAAGTTCTGCAATCCTCCAAATCTTTCCTCTCACTAATGACGTAGCAAGATCTGCAGGAAGATGAGAAAACTGAGGTCCACAGGAGCGAAATGAGTTAGCGTCTCCAAGGCAGGTCTCTGGGCCCTTACACTGTGGGCAGTGGTGAGCCGCCACCCAGAGGCACCGGGGATGCAGGCACAGCCCCGCCTGGCTCAGGCACAAGTGAAGGGCAGCGGAGTGGCCTCCCTGGACCCTGGTGTGTGTGAGGTGGGGGCAGGCGGGCAGCCCTGGTTCTGCATTATCAGTGTGTGCAGAGGAGGTGGGTCTGAGTGTGAAAGACACTAAGACCAGGTCCTGGGTGCACAGAGGCTCTGGATGCCTCCCTGGTCAAGACAGGGGGTGGAAACATAGGTGGAGGTTCTGGGTCCCTCACCAGCCACACAAGCCCAAGCACATCATCTCACTACCTGGTGCCTCCTCTGAACCAGGGCCCTCATCCTATTGCCCATTTATCTGTTGTGAAGGGTCAGGGGTGGGTGGGAAGGCGACTGGCCATTCGGAAGAAAGAAACTTCGGAAGAAAGGAACCATGATGATGTGCTTCCCTGGGTCCCTGAGCTCAGTGTGCAGGGACTGCGTGCCTTGGCACCAAGCCTCAAGGACCAGCGAGCCCTCAAGGAGTGCACAGCCTGGTAGGTATACAACCCAGGGCATTCCAAACCCCAAACCCCGCCTACAGGGCGCAGACCCCTGGCCTCTGCACGTGGCAGCCCTGTCTCAGCCCCTCCAGCTGCTCTGCCTTTGCTCACTTCACTCCAGGCCACACTGGCCTCATTCAGCAGCTTAGATGCACAAGTTCCCAGCTCCTTGGAGCCTGCGAATGGATGCTGTTCCCTTTGCCTGGAATGCTCTTCCCTCCACCCCCCTACCCCCCAACCCCCCACCCATTCCTCCCACAGCTGCCTCCTTTTCAGCTGCTAGGTTCACACTCAGTTATCTCTTGCTCAGAGAGCTCTCCCCTCTCATTCTCTAAGCCTCCTCTGTTCTCCAGACAGCCTGAGTTCACTCTCAGCAGTGCCACTTACTAGCTGTGTGATCTTGGGCAACTTACTTAACCTCTCTGTCTCAGCTTCATCTTTAATATGGCATAATACCATTATCTACAACAGAGCTGTTATAAGGAATACTGAGTTCATGCATGCTTGGCACATAGCTAGCACTTGTATGACATTCGCTCCTATTATTATATTAACAGCACTTAGCACTGATTTTCCTTGTGTATTTCTTGGACTCCTTTTCACTGGGTCTCCCTCGTTAGCTGTCAGCCCCACACAACAGCCTGGGTTCATTACAGTGCACTCAGAGCCTGACACATGCTAATCCTGTGGAGGGAACAAATGAAGTGAGGACAACATCCTGAGGAAACGTCATTAATTCTGGGAGCAGGAAGGATGAGAATTGGAAGGGGAAATAATGGCTAAGTTGGGTTTTGAAAGATAAAGAAGGGCCCTCCAGGACAAATTAACAACACTAAGGGTGTCTGCCCAAGGCTGCAACTGGAGTTTGAACGTGGCTCTTAAATACGCTGAAGCTAAGTGTCCAAGTCTTGCCTCTTCCTCCAGGAAGCCTTCTAGGACCACTTCAACCCCCTTGCGAGCTCCCATTGACACTCAATCATTAGTAGTTTTTGTGCTCCTCTATGTGATGGACATGTCATTTTACATTTATGAGTTTTCCTTCCACCACGAGACAGTGGGGTCCTCAGTCAGGTGACACTTGCTTTTCATTGCCAGGACCAACCCCACGGTGAGGCACAAACCCTTCACAAACATCCAGACCCATAGGATGTCAAGGCTGGCGGGGATTTCAGGGACACCCAGAGTTAGGGAACACTTGGCCCAAGGTTACATGTCAGCAATGGGGTGAAAATAAAATTCTAATACAGGGTGACCAAATGTTACACCCTAAACCTCCCCACATCTGAACTAGACCCCAATTGAAGCTGGGGGGTTCGTGGGTAGGTAGGCACACCTCCAGCTGCCCTCAGGTTCAGGGTGAAGCAGAGGCTCACCACAGTGGGTCGGGAGCGGCGTGTATTATAGGTCTATGGGTTCATGTCAATAGCACTACCCAGTACAGGGCTCCTCAGGGGAACTGGGACAAACAGCCCACCCCTGTTTCCAGAGCAAATAAAGTTCCTGAGCCCCCATGGGAGCTGACCTGGGTCAGGCTGGAGCTCAGGCTGAGCAGCATACCCAGCCTCCCACTGAGGAGCCAGCAGGTCCCCACCAGCCCAGGGGTGTGGAACTGAATGTCCAGCGTAGACTGACCCTGGGATGGGAGAAGGAGAAGGGCCCCCACTGAGAGGGGCAGGGCAGAGGGACCTTTCCAACACCACTGCACAGGCACTGTGTTCCTCCGGCCTCCTGCCCCAGCTCGGCAGCAGACTCTCCACCCCCTTCATTCAGTCCCTCCCTCTACCTCCCTCCCTCCCTCACGTGTGCAGAGTGCTTGCTGGGTACCCAGTGGTGGGTAAGAGCCAGAACATTCCAACTCTAAAATGCCTACTCTCTGCAGAGCCACAGGACACTGACAAGGGTCCCCAACCAACCCTGTGATGTGGGGCTGTGGGCTGAGGCCCTCTCCTCTGTTCCCAGTTTTAGCACAGCTTTCTTTAGTCTCCATGAAGAGAGCCAGGTGGGGGTTTTTGATTTTCTTGCTTTTCATTAAAAATGACTTGGGTAACAGCTCAGAAAACAGTCCCCAACTCTCCTGTATTCCTGGAGAACTTAGGGAATTCAGGAGGGAATAAAGGAAGTCCAAGGGGACCCACCATGCAGGCAACGGTCCAAAGGTGGAAATGCAGGCCACAGAGTTCTCAGCCAGCGTGAGGTCACCCGTGTCACCTTGTGGGCCCAACTTCCACCATCCCACACCCACCTCCACTCCCAGACTCCGTGGGGAGTGGGGGACAGCGTGGGGAAGAGGACGGCCAGCCGGGCTCGAGTCAGCGTGTGCGGGTTGGAATCCCACTCTGGGCTTTCAGCCGGCTGAGCCTCTGGCTCCTTAAGAGCTCAAACTCTACAGCCAAATTTGAGTCTGTTGAAATCTCGGCTCTGCCACTTTCTATCAGTGTGATCCTGGGCAAGTCTCTCAATTTCTCTGAGTGAGTGAAGCTCACCTGGGACGTGGGGATGATAGCTCTACCTACCTCCCAGAGAATGGAATGGGTTAGTATACGCACAATCTGGTGCCTAGCGTGGTCGGCATTGTGTAAGGAATTGTGCTGGAAAAGGTTACTGGCTATCTCTGTAAAAGGGTCACAGTGATACATCCCTCCCCTGCTGCCTTCTCCCCAGTTACTGATAAGGATAAATGGGGAAAAGACTCAAATCAATGGGATAAGAGTTAAAGATGATGGGACATAAGCCAAGACACCGACAGCCCCCTACACCTGGAAGATGCTCTTTGCCCTGTGCTTAGGGAACAGAAGTAAGGCACCCTGCTGCTCAGATCCCACCCCTGGCCTTGCTGTGAAGTAGCCTGTGCCCATCTATTCATTAAGCATTTCCCGGGGCTCTGGCCCTGCCCAGCACTGTGCTGGGCACCCCAAGAGCAGCCTTGGGGAATTCACTGGCTGGTGGAAGAAAGGCACATGCAAGTCCACCACACAATCAGGGTGAGAACAGACTAACACAGAGGTTTGCTGTGCGGAGAGAAATCTGGGAAAGCTTGCCAGAAGAGGCAGCATCTGAGCTGAGCTCCGAGGTCTCAGAAGTACCCTTCCAGGAGAACAAGTTAGTAGGGGGTGAGGGGAGGCTAGGAGTCACTCTGGCAGAAAGCATAATATGTATCACAGCACAAGGAGAGAACAAAGGCGGTACCCTGAGACAGAGACAGGCAGTGCCGGCTGGCTGCCATACTGGATGCATAGGGGCGGGCGAGGTACAATGAGGAGGGAGAGATGGGCAGGGCAGATCACCAAAATCCTTTTGTACCAAGCAAGGAATGTGCACGTTATACTGAAGGCAACCACCTGCGGAGGTGGTGAGGAATAATCACATTTCCCTTTCAGAAGCATCCCTCCAGTGGAGGAGGATTGGAGGGGGCTGGACATGGGACAGGGGAACTGGGGAAGAGAGGGTACACTGAGTCTGAGCTGAGTAGCAGTCATGTCGATGGAGGGAAGGGATGGATAAAAGAATTCTTTATTTGCCCCTGCCCCTTTGAAAAAGGCTTTTCCTGAAAACATCCTCAGAGGACACCTACTCTACACCCAGCACAACCTCTGCCAGTGTATCCAGAACCCTTCTCCGTTCACCGTAACAAAAGTCTGCTGAGCACTTGGGTCTGTCTCATGCCTCCACATCTAATCTCACTCTGCTCCAAAGTCCCTGTTAAGAGCTTCCAGGGAAACATTCTCTGCGAGGTGACCTTGCAGGACACGTTTCCACCAGCCCTCACTTGGTCCTGCACTTGCTCTCCCAAGAGTTTATTGTCCTCAAGAACCCCGACTTCACCCTGTCATAAGGGCCCACACACCCCAAGCCCTGCAACGTCTATCAGCTCTGTGGCCTTTGAGCCCTGAACTCTGAGAATTAAACACCACACAGCCACGGAGCTCAGTGTGTCCTGCGGAAACACACGCAGACCTGCGGGAAGAAACACACACCCCCCAGATAGAATTCCAGACATGCAACACAACCTGCCCCTGCGGAACTAGCAGCCCCTGGGGCTTATTTGGCAATTGCATCTCATAATAAACCAGCCCAGGGGTCCTGAAATTTTTTTTTCCAAAAGTGAGTTAGAAAATGGCCCATGGAAAATGAGAGAGGAGATGCAGTACTTCTGACTTAAAATGGAAACTTCAGTCCTCTTCTGGGATCCCCAGATCACCCGTCCCGTGGCCTCCCACCCACCCCCAGCACACCCTCCGTACCCTTCGAAGGTGATTTCCGACATTCTGGATCATCGCGGCTGAGGCCCCGCTAGCCGGTCGCCCGGATGGCAGCACTCTCCAAGGGACGTGAGTCACCTGAGCAACAGCCAGGCTCCAGCTTCATATGAAGCCTCTTGGCAATCTCCTCTCGCTCCTCCTCCCAAGTGCCCGCCCCTGCTGAGCCCAGGCCCCAGCCTCCACTCAGACTGCCCTCTGCACCCCTCCTCCCGGAGCCCCCACGCCTGCCTGGTGGAGAGGAAGGAAAGAGGCTGCCAGCTGGGACTCAGCCACGTCAAGGGGCCCTGTCCCCGCCCACCAGGTTCCTAGCTGGACACTCACTCCGCTTCCAGCCACAACCAAATGTAGTCACTCCCATTTGCAGTCCCTGGCATCCTCCCCACAGGGTCCCTTGGCTCTGGGGTCACTCCCAGGGGCTGGGAAGCTCCAGATCCCCAGCCTCAGCCAAACTGGTAAAACGGGCAACAGGTTTCCATCTGTATACAGGGAGGAGATTGGAAGGTGGCAGAAGGCCAGGGAGCTGCCACCAGTGTCCCGGAGAGATACCAGACCCACCTGCTAGGACTCTTCACCCTTGGGAGTGTTACCCCCCGCCCCACCGCTCCAGGCTGCTGGCGTCTATCAGCTGCTGGCCAGGGACAGGGCACACCCCCCTCTGCCTTAAAATAAGCAGCATGACTTTTCTAAAAGCCAAACCCCACACCATTGGCTCCACAGGACTTAGCTCCTGGACACCCACCCTAGGCCTGCTGTAGCCACTACCAACCAAGAGACCACCAGGAGTTCCCCTTCTCCCCTCTCTTCTGCAAGAGGCTTAATGAGGAGGCCTTGACCCTCATGCTGGACTGCCTAGGACAGGGCAATGAATAATGTGCTTGGTGGTTAAGGGATGAAGGGGCGGTGATCCAGGAAGGGGAACTGGATGGAGAAGTGGGCCAGGACTAATAATGAGCTCCTTACAATAACTGACCACTGCTGTATGCCAGGCCTCACTACGGTCCTCTATCTAAACCCACAGGGTGGGGGGGGTCCCTTGGGGGAGGCAGGTGATGTGCCCCAGACGGCATAGCTATTGAGGGCAGAACTGTGCCGGAACAGAGCTCAGCCTGATTCTGAGGCCTCTGCCCTTTCCTCTGCCCCTCATGGCCTCCATTTCACGCGCCACATGTCTAACACTGTCTCCCCAGGGGCCCTAAGACACCTGAGTCCTCAGCCTGGTTCTTTCACATAACGTGCTATGTGACTTTGGGCACGCTCCCTCCTCTCTCTGAGCCTCCCTGCCCTAGCAGTCAAGAACTCCAATGTCCATCCCAGTGAGCTCAGGCCTTGCTCTCTGTCAGCAGTTTTGTGTCTACAAATGAGAAATTAAAGTCACACCATAAAGACTGCAAGATGGGCCAAGGATAGCGCTGAGGGTTGGGGCCAGCCCGGAGGCTTCCTGAAGGAGGTAGTGGTAGAACTGGTCTGCAGATTGAACGGCTTTGGACAGGCTGAGAAGAGGGTTGAGGGGGAAGGCCTAACAGGAAGAGGTCAGGATGCTGCCGTGCGCAGTGAGGATCTTCACCTTGCAGAAAAAACCTGGGAATCGGTCGAGGAAGGCCTCGAATGCCAGGCAACAGGGTTTAGGCAACAAGAAGCCTCTGAGGAGGGAAAGCACGCTTAACATGATACAAGCCACGTGAGGCGGACAGGACAGGTGTCATGAGACTGCACTGGACTGGTAAGGAAACCAGCTCAGAGAAGAGACAGCTCATATCACTCAGCCTCGCTGGATTGAGGCAGGCAGCCAGGAAAACCTCAGGGTTCTCACTATGCAGATGAGGAAATAGAAACCCAGAGAGCTTCTGGTCCCCAACCCTACCCTCTCTCCAAAGAACTCACTGGACTCAGTCTAGTCCCCTCATCTTGCAGGTGGATACATTAAGGCCAAGAAATGAAAAGTGAGCCCTCAAAGTCACACAGTGAAGAAGTTGTCTAGAATCACCATTCCTGACCTCACATTTAGAGCCCTGTCCACCCCACCCCACAACAAGGCATAAAATAAAAGAGGCTGATGTAGATTGGGTTCCAGCCTGCGAACCGAAAGGTCATTGGTTTGATACCTAGTCAGAACAGATGCCTGGGTTGCAGGCCAGGTCCCCAATTGGGGGCGTGCGAGCGGCAACCGATTGATGTATCTTGCACATTGATGTTTCTCTCTCTCTTTTTCTTCCTCCTTCCCCTCTCTCTAAAAATAAGTAAATAAAATCTTTTTTAAAAAATAAGAGAGGCTTCAGTTAGACTTAGGAGAAGATGTCCAGCAAAGTTCAATCAACAGAGGAATAGATCTTCCTGCAGAGGCCCCTGCAGCCCACAGAGGTCCCGCTCCTCTCTGTTGTTCAGTAGAGAACTGACTCCTGTGTCCCTGCGGCATTCCCGTTCAGGATGTTACTTCGGTGCATATTTCTGTGGATACCTGCCTCCCCTTTCCGCTACCCCCCGGACCAGGGCCCTAAATTCAGGAAACATAAAACACACCTGCATGAATCATAGTCCTGAAAAGGCCAAGAGGAGGTCTAAAGTGATAATTAAGTCAGTGGTTCTCAAACTTCAGCCTGCATGAGAATCGCCCAGAGGACCTGTTAAAATACAGTAGTGCTGGGCCTCATCTCTAGAGCTTCAGTGGAGCCCAGTAATTTGCATGACTAACAAGGCCCCAGGGGACGCAGATTTTGCTGGTTCAGGGACCATATTTTGAGACCTAGTGAGCAAGTCAGCCCTCCCTCTTTCCAGCTGGGGAGAATGAGATCCAGAGAGTTTAAGGGCAGTGCTTGACTGTATATCAATATCATCAGCATAATCATCATCATCACTCATTGTCATTATAGCCCTTCTCACATGCCCAGCCCTGGGCAAGCACTTCAAGTACCTTATCAGCTTTGGACCTCGCCCAAGAGAAAGGTACTATGATTATTCTCTTACAGAGGAGAAAACGAAGGCAAAGAGTCATTGGTCCGATGTCGCACAGCTGGTAAGAGTTAACAGCAGAATTTGAACCCTGATCTAAATCTGGAGCTCACAAGTTGAACCACCACTTTACACAATCTGCTTACAGCTTATGCTGGTCAAGGAATTCTCCAGAGGTTCCCAAATCCAGTAGGTTCACCTCTGGTGTGGGATGAGCTTGCAGTGCACTCAGCCCAAAGGCCTGGCCCACTGGGGTATCCTACATCTTCAGAAAGCCAGCCTCTTCCACCCTGTGAGCCCAGAGAACTTTCTCCTACAAACACTTCTTTTCCCACATTACGTCTTTCATATGGCCCCACTGATGGGGCCTTCCTGACTAGAGGACAAATGTCTGGTCCTCTAGTCAGGAAGAAATGTTCAGGTCCATGTCTCAGCTCTACTTCCCCACTCAGTGACAAAACACAATGAAATAATAATCTCCATCTATATTCCGCGGTGATACTGCATTGCCACCAATAGGCACCGGTCTGTCTCCCCCATCAAACCGGGAACTCGCACGCAGGGACCTCATCTGAGTCTTACAAGGTCTCAGCACAAGGTCTGCCCAGAGCAAGCGTTTAGTGCCTAAGTGATAGATGGATGGATGGAAAGAAGGAAGGAAGGAAGGAAGGAAGGAAGGAAGGAAGGAAGGAAGGAAGGGAGGGAGGGAGGAATGGGTGTGTGTGTATGTAGTGGTAAATGAGGGAATGACTGAGTGAATAAATAACCAAACTCCCAGGAATTCCCTCTGCTGGGCCTTTGAGTCTTCCCAGGTAGGCCACAGACTTCCTAGGTAGGAGGGACCTCTGGCATCATCCACTCCAGCCCCCACTTTCAGCACTGCCCTGGCTGAACCTGTCCATGGGCCAGTACCTACAGCTCCTCCCCTGCACACAACCTTCTAGTACCCAGCCTCCACTTACAAAAGTCCAAGATTGAAGAACCCCCTCCATCTAAGGCTGCCCGTACAATTAAGGTGCTCTAAGAGCCAGAAGGGTCTTGCCATCAACCCATGACTCTGAATCACCCAGAAAAAAGCTGCTCCCCTGCTCCCCTGCTCCCCTGGCCTGTGACATTGGCAGAGGTGTGGGAACACATGTCCTGTCCTCTGCCTGGCCCTGGCCTCCCTGTCCAGACTTATTTCTTCTAATCTTCTTAAGCCATGAACAGAGCTCCCTACTGGTGCCTCACACACCTGGGGTTTCCTTTCTTCCTGCTGTTCCCCCCACTCTGATGCCCTTTAATAACTCTACATCCAAACCCTGCCCCCTATCAAGGCCCAGCTCAAATGGCACCACCTCCAGGAAGTCTTCTGGGCCCCTCCTAAGTGGAAATCACATCTTTCCCCTTCTGTACCCTCAATCCACCTGCCCCCAACACACACACACTTTGCATCCTTTTATTTCTCTCTCACACTGTTTTTTCTCTTAAGTCGGGCGGATTTGTGCCAATTTCTCCTTCTTGACCTTGAGCAAACTGGCAGCAGAAATGGTGTTGATTCATCAGAGTATCCTGCCTCCTCCCACCAAGCACTCAGGGCCTTGATCATAGTAGGTGCTCAGTGTCACATACTATGAAGAATGAGAGAATGAAGGAATGAATGTTGAATGGGAAAGAACAGGGGAATGTGTGAGTGGATGGAAGTGAATACATGTGTAAATGAATGATAGAATGAATGAATGAATGCAAGAATTTTGTCATCCTCTCCTATTCTCCAAGCTAAAGACTCCCAGTTCCAGGACAGAATAAATGAAGTTGTGGGATAAAAGGGGTGGAGGACAGGAGGGAGGAACAAAGAAAAAAGGAAGTGAAACCAGCAAGACAGGAAGCAGAGGTGACCTAAACACTGCTTCAAGGCCAGGCCCTCCTCAGAACCACATGCCCTGCTTTCAGAAGAAGCGGGGCCAGGAGAGCAGTGAGAAACCAGTTCAATGGTTCAGGGGAGAGAAGGCAGAGTGGTGGGGATGGAAAGGAGGGAATGCTAACAAGTCTTGGAGGCCAGATTCCGGGATGCTGTCTAGCCAGCCCTGAACTCCATCCTGACAAATGGGCTCAAACTTGCCCTCCCTCCCCCTCTCTTACCGCCTCCTCCTGTG